CTTTCAATCCGTTTAAACAATTACGTACGCACAGAAGCTCATTTGAGAAACTTGCTCGAGTTAGCCTAAAACTCTACTTTTACTTTATCCGGCCGGCCCAATATCTTCCTAGGCCGCCGATTGATATTCAGCCACAACATATATACATACATACACACACCCACATTAATTTTAATAAGAGCTTTTCATTAGAATTTATATAGAGGGAAGTGTAGGCAGAGACATATGTAGATAGGGGCTTGGGGTCAGTTGACCCCGAGTCACCGAATAATTATTATTATTATTATTTTGCAAAGTGAAATGGCTTTCAAATATGATATTTTATATGGGAAATGATTGTGGAGGGTATTATATTCTTAGAGAGAGAGTAAAAAATTTAGTAAAGAAACGATTATATAACACTAAGAAACACAATCATTTGGTTGTGGTTGGCTTGGTTTGTGTTTGTAATTTTTGTTCGTATTTTATAATTAAATAGTTGTTAAATGTAGTATTTTTAAATATTAGTCTATTCTAATATAGAATAGTAGAATTTCATACTAAACTAAATCGAAAAATTAAATTTCAAAGAGAAAACATTCTTTAATTTTATGAAAAAACAAAAACTACAATATCACTTGGAATAGAGAATAACATTGATAGATCTAAAATCATCAATGATGAAGTCGACATTGTTTGTGGGTGTAGTGTGGTGTTCAATCTCGTTTCCGGCATGACATATTTGTTGGCAGTGCTGTTGGCAAACTAACTCACGGCCCGGAGCGTAGCACCCGATCATACATTGCTTTACGCATTCGCGAAATTCCATTTTCACCTCTGCATCGAAACCACACTTGACTTCTTTCACAATAACTGATCCTACAATTAATAGTATCGCTATGAATACACTCACTTGCTTCGTCGCCATTGTCATCGTCATAATCTTTCGATTTTTATTTCTTCAATTCGCATGCTCTAAACTCCATTCATACCTTATCCCTTTTATACTAAAACAAACATATCCTTATTAGTATACATATATTTTGTTAACTAAAATATACTTTCTTACTATTATTTTGTGTAATCTAATTATGTTGTTATATTATGTTGTAAATATAATAAAAGTATTATGGTAATATTATGTGTATATGCATATAAAACTAGAATATTATTGTAATATTATATTATGTGTATGTGAATATAATATTACTATAATATTATCCTATAATATGTATTTTTGTAATAATATTGTTACAAGTTTATTGAGAAAATTGCATATAAACCTTCTAAATTCTTAATACTAGACGAACCCGTGTTATACACGGGATTTGATAATATATGATTTTTTTTTTTTTTTTTTGGGTTGAAATTGATGGTTTAAATTTATTTATAGTAAAAATTATTTATTTATAACTTTACTATCGTTATTTTAAGAATAATAATAATAATTTTGTAATATATAGTTTTTTATCTGTATTTATGTGATATTATTTTTAAAAGTATATTGATAAAATTTTAGGAGAAGTTTATGTGCTGATTAGCATGGTGCTGATTAAGATGATAGATCAAGTGTTTAAATATAAATTTCCGTAACTTCCTAATAATTATAAATTAGTTACATATTTATATTAATTAATTATATAAACTAAAATTATTTAAATATAATATTAAGCACAATGTTGAAAGAAAACTATCCGCATGGGATGTCAAACCCTTGTAGATCAAGCGGAGAGATATCTCTCGCTTGATGATCTATTTGATCAATTGAGAGGTGCAAGTATATTCTCCAAGATTGACTTAAGGGCCGGATATTATCAACTAAGGATTGCAGAGCATGATATTCCTAAGACAACTTTTTGTACTAGATACAGTAATTATGAATTTACGGTTATGTCCTTTGGGTTGACCAATGCCCCGGCTACATTTATGAAGTTGATGAATCAAATCTTTCAACCATACCTCGATCAGTTTGTGGTGGTATTTATCGACGATATCTTGGTATATTCTCCAGATAAAAGGACACATGCAAAATATTTGCGTATGACACTAAATACATTGCGTGCGAGAAAGTTATATGCCAAGTTATCCAAATGTGAGTTTTAGTTGAAAAAGGTTGCTTTCTTGGGTCATGTAGTTTCTGGAAAGGGTATCTTAGTAGATCCTTCTAAAGTTGCAGCAATCTCGGATTGGGCAAGACCTACCAATCAATCAGAAGTAAAAAACTTTTTTCGTTTGGCAGGGTATTACCGAAGATTCGTTCTTGATTTTTTGAAGGTTGCAAAGCCATTAACTAATTTGTTGAAGGACACTATGATTAATTGAGATCGTGAGTGTGAGTCGTCCTTTGTAGAATTGAAATATCGACTAACTTCAGGACTAGTCTTGGCTTTACCAGTAGAGGGTGAGGATTTTGAAGTTTATAGTGATGCTTTAAAAAGGGGATTGAGATGCATCTTAATGTAGAATCAAAGTGTTATTGCTTATGCGTCACGACAACTAAAACTCACGAAGAGAATTATTCTACACATGACTTGGAGATGGAAGAAGTTGTGTTTGCTTTGAAGATTTGAAGTCATTATCTTTATGGTGACCATTGTAGAATATTTATTGACCATCAGAGTCTTAAATATATCTTCACCCAAAGAGAATTAAATTTAAGATAAAGAAGATGGTTAGAATTGGTGAAGGATTATGATCTCAAAATTGTATATCATGAAAGCAAAGAAAATGCTGTAGCTGATGCATTAAGTCGAAAACCAAGGCATAGGTTCGGTTCCATGTCAGTTGCCGATGAACTGTGCCAAGATTTGGCATGGATAGAAATTGAAGTACTTGGACGGGGCATGACTCGGGTTTATTTGCAAATGATGCAAGTTGAGCCTGAAATTTATGATCACATTAGAGCAACTCAAATGGAAGATAATAAGATGGTTGAGTTGGCTATAAATGTTCAGTACGTTCAGACTCAAAACTTTAATATTGCTTCAGATGGGAGTCTTCGATTTCATGGAAGGTGGTGTATCCCAAAGGACCGAAGCAATTTGAAAAAGCAAATTACGAGTGAGGCTCATAATACACCATATTCAGTGCATCCAGAAGGGATTAAAATGTATCAAGACTTACGTCAAAATTTTTGGTAGAAGGTCATGAAAAGGATGTAGCCAAATTTGTTGCACAATGTTTAAACTACCATAAGGTGTAAGCAGAACATCATTGACCTGTCGCACGGTCAATCAAATATTTCACCTATTCATTGATCACAATTTAATGTAATACAGGGGAAGGGATCGTCTCCGCAGGGATTGTGTGATTCGCTCTTTCGTGTTCTAATGCAGTAAATAATTGGGGGAATTTTCTTTTATTATCTAATGAAGATAAAATAACAAAACAATTTAATTAACGAAGAACTAGCTATCAAGGGGATGTCCGGCTCAAGGGATGATGCAGTTATAACACTTGTGTTTTATCATTAATTCAATAAAGTTAGTTCTTATTAAAGTATCAATAAATTGGTTATAGTTATCAACTAGCTCTGACAACCAATTTTTCCTTACAGTGTAGATAATTAGGTACGACCGTTAACTACCCCTAATTAAGCAAATAAACCTAGGTGCGCCCATAAGAAATATTGCCTAATCGCATTCTAATCTAGAAAAACTCAATTCAAAATAATTAGTACTACCTAAGAGGAGCAATTAGATTTGATTTTCTAACCCCCGGGAAGGAACTATTCAACCCGGTTGTCACCTATTCAATTGCGAATACAATTATGGATATCCTACCTGAATTGACTTTAGATTATCAGACTAATTCAAATATCGGTACCAAAATAATCAATCAATCTAACAATCACAAACGTTATTCTCAGAATTAGACAAATATTGATAATAAAAATTACTTTTATAAAGAAAATTAAGAATCTCCAGAACACAAGAACCAAAACATTATCATCCCTCAAACCAGAAAAATATCTACTTCATAATCAAATAACAAAGAACAATAGCGAAAAATAAAGTCATAGTGGGAGGGGAAATCTTCTCTGTCGATTTTCTCTTGTGCGATCTATGAGTCTGACAGTCCCCTGCTCTTGTGCATATCTCTCTGGCCGTCCTCTTTTTCTTTTTTCTGCGTGTGATCCTCTCCTTTTATTTAATTCTTGCCTCAATTATTTTGTAGCTGGGCTTTTGGATCTTTGATTAAATTCCTATGTCAAGAGGGTATAGTTAGACATGATTAACTAGGTGGTGCAAATCTGAATTTTTCTTTAGTTTTTCTGCCAATTACGCCAAATTTGATATTTGCCCTCTGCACACAACAAATAAACAATACACATATAAATTAGTTAGAATCCAATCAAAATCAATCAAATATTGCATATAATATGAACATTTAACGCATGCGATTTCTAACTATCAGGGGTTGCTACAACCTTTAGAAGTTCCATTCTGGAATGAGATTTTAATGCAATGGATTTTGTGACAGGACTTGCAAGGGCGAAGTCGGGAACAGATGCAATTTGGGTAATTATAGATAGATTGACCAAGTCAGCAGTGTTCATCCCAGTACGTATGACTTGGAGTATGCAGAATTTGGCCAAATTATATGTTCATCATATGGTTAAACAACACGGTATTCCTGAAGTAATCATATCGGATCGTTATCCATGTTTTCAATTTCGATTTTGGCAAAAAGTGCAGGAAGTCTTTGGTACTCAGTTGCATATGAGTATTGCATTCCATCCAATGACTGATGGTCAATCAGAGAGAAATATCCGTATTCTGGAAGATATGCTAAGAGCTTGTTCAATAGAATTTCAAGAAATTTGGGAGAACCACTTGGATTTAGTAGAATTCTCATATAATAATAGTTATCAAACAAGTATTGAAATGACTCTTTTTGAAGCTCTTTATGGCCGAAAATGCAGGAATCCTTTAAGTTGGGATGATATGAGTGATCGACTGATATTAGGTCCATAAATGATCAAAGAATAAAAAACAAATATTCGAGTTATCACAGAGAAGATGAAGACAGCTCAAGATTGCCAAAAAAGTTATGCCGATAAAGCCCGATGTGATGGTCAAGTTCAAAGTGGAGATTTCGTCCTGGTGAAAGTATCTCCAATGAAAGGTATTAGAAGGTTTGGAATTAAAGAAAAATTGACTCCGCATTATGTTGGACCCTATGAAATTATCGATCGAGTTGGGGATTGGGCTTATCGGCTAGCACTTTCAAATTCCATGGAACAAATTCATAATGTGTTTCATGTATCACAACTTCGTAGCTATGTCGCATATCCTTCTAATATTTTATCTCCGGATGAGTTAGAGCTAAATGAGGATCTTTCGTATGAGAAAATGCATATTTGGATCATGGACAGAAAGATTCCAACCATGAGGAACTGAGAGATTCGTGTGGTGAAAGGAATGTGGTCCTGACATGGAGCGGAAGAGGCCATGTGGGAAGTAGACCAAGAGATGTTCAAAGCATATCCACATTTGGTTAATTAAGTAATGTTGTTATGCGTTTGAGTTTAGATTTCGGGGACGAAATCTTTTTAAGGGGGAGTGAATTGTAATGCCCGATTTTGGAGTGTATAAAATAATATTATTATAGCAAATAAATATTTTTTTTATAATATTTTGGGATCAAAAAATTAATATTCTGAAATAAATTTTATTCCTATTTTAAATATTGATTATGATTAAAAAGACTGTTAAACGGTTAAATATCGATAAGTATAAGTATAAAATATAATATATATAATATTTTAATGTAATAATATAATAATAATAATAATAATGATGATAGGGATGGTAAGGATAACAATAATAATAACGTTACTAATACTAATAATAACAATAATAATAATAATAATAATAATAATAATATATATTAAAGCAAAGCAAACAAAACACATTGAAGACACAGAAGCAAAACGCGAAGAAGGAGAAGAAAGAAAAAAAAAAGAAAAAAATTTAGCCGTCTGTTTTCGATTTCGACTTAGGTATTGTATTATTTGTTATACGTAGAATTTAATTATGGATTTTAATATGAATTTAGATATTGAAGAGATTAAATTATAAATTTTTCAAAAATTCGTAACTGGCTATTACTATTTAATTCACGAATTTCTTTAGCTAATAGCCTATCTGTAGTCCTAGTGTGATATTTTGAAAATTTTGTATCGATTCTAGTCGAATTGAAAATAGCAGTCTATTGCACCTACATGTTTACTCATATCTTTAGATATTTTATTTAATAATCGGGTGATATAAATATTATGAGGTATAAGAGTTTTATAGCTAGAATATCGTATTCTACTAAATATAAAAGTTTGAAACCCAATGAGCTAATTATGAAAATTAGCTTTGGAATAAGCAGATAGCTCCTATGAATAAGCATATAGCTCATCTGATTCGAGTAAATAATGGGCCAGGTGTACGTTGGAGGAGATTTGAGTGAGATTGCAAAAGTTAAGGAGTGTCGATAAGAGATAAGCAATAGAGAATTAAATCTAATTTTAAGAAATTAGGTATGCACATTGCATGCGATTCTGATTAATATGTTAATGTGATATTATGTTGATAACTCTACCAGTGCATGTATATATTTATATATATGTGTGCGTATGCGTGTGCGAGACTTCTCATTTTATGATATTTAATGTACGTATTTGATCGCGTTGGTGAATCTATGAAAATGAGGATAGGTTAGCTGTCTCACCAGTACTTTTCGATAAATTCACTTATTTGACATACTACACACATATTGCACGGTTTATCGGTTATGTTTTATGGATCTATCGTTTAGTCGCCCGTCTGCGGTAGTGCTTAGGGCATCATTTGGGGTTAGGATATTCGACCCCGATGTATCGTAATACTTTGGCCATAGTGGACGATAATAGTCGGACAACTGGGTGACTTAGTTGCACGGTCATTCAGGGATTAGAACCATTGTGGTTGAGACGTATTTGGTCTAATCATTCGTGTTCGGTGTTGTTCCACTCATTGGAGTAGCTACTAGTGAGGTCTACCGGTAGTTTAGGACATATGCCAAACTCCAAATGTGATCCCGTTAGGGCGCACGAGGAGGAGTAGAGTTTTCGGGTTTCCCTTAGGTGATTCCAGATTGCACGGATTCTACTACATTACATGGGATAGGGATAGTCAGTGGGGGTCCTATCTTCGCTATCCTAGACTATGGGGCGTCTTGTGGTTAATGGTGACAACATTCGGCTATCCATGTATCGATTGTGGGAGTCGTATGGTGGTTATATAGAAGTGACCGGATGACCGTTATATTATTATGGGTTTATCAGGTCCTTCCTTGAGCCGATGATTTTCTGGCTGTTTATTGATGATGATCTAGTGAGTTTGTTATTATAGGGCCGAGGTTATTCCGGCTGCTCACTTAGACAGATGCAGTGAGCCTATTATTATGGAGCCAAGGTTATTCTGACTGTTCACTTCGGCGGATGTATATATATGTGCATGTGCATTGTTGTCGAGTTTGATATCTTTATTGCATCATTTCACTATTGGCATGACATGTATTTTATGATTGACGGAAATTAGACTATATTTTAAAAGGTATGACATGATATATTTCACGTTAGTTCTTAAAATAGATTTAATTCTAGTCTGCTTTTAAGAAAAATATTTGGTTCAGGTATGCATGGCACCTCCGTGATAGGGGACGTCTCGGGATATTGAAAGACGGGCTGAGTGAGTGAACTTACATCTATTGTATTATATCTAAATTTTTAACCGGAAAAACCTCTTGTTTAGCAGTGTGTTTTGTAAATATTCATAAACCAGATTTTGTTATATAATAATGCATTTTTATAGTTAATTTTAGCCTTAACACTGCGAAGTAGGAGGTGAAGACCTCATGATGCAGTGTGGCGGTAGCATTTCCAATATGAGCCAACTGAGGGTGTTACAGTATATCTATGTAAATGTGTGTGTATGTATATATGATAAAAAAAAATAAAACAAAACTTGGTCAAACTTAGAAAAAATGGTAAATAAACGGCAAAACTACCTATATCCCCCCTGTGGTTTGGAAACTCGGCACCGTTTCCCCCTGTACTTTAAAAACTGTGCGGTTCTCCCCTGTGTTTTCGGAAACCTTGCGCCTAACCCCCCAAATGGCAAAAGTTAACGGAAGGTGGAATACACGCGTGAAGTAAGCGAGTAGACTTGTTGTTGCTTCTCTTAAACTACCCAAATTTCCTAATTTACCCTTCCACTACCATTAAGTACAACATTCTCTATCAATCAATCTAACACAACCGAAGCAAACCCAGAACACCCGAATCCCCTCCTCGACGCTGGTTAACTTCTGATTTCCGATTTCCAGGTAGGTATTTGCAAAATAGATGTGATGTTTTCGTTTCCACCTTCTTCCTTGGCTTCATTTCTCCCATAATTTTTTTTTTTTTTTCATGTGTTTTTCGATATCAGAATATGTTTTCGGTTATGGTGGATGTTTTTGCCTTGATGAAATTTTTGAATATGGCTCTCTTCTTTGTAGTGGCCAAAATTGGTATCTGACATGGCCATTCTTTGAATCGAGTTAGAATGTTTTTTTTTTTCGATATATGCCCCAATATCTTCGGTCCTATTTGTAATTTTGAGATTTTTTAATTTGTAGTGAACTGTGTGCATTTATCTTGATTTTGAAAATTTTATAGTTCTCTGAAATTGAATGATTTTTCCAATCTGCAGATGTCTGTCTACAGGTAGTAGTAATTCTCATGCGAAAAAAAGAATGAGTTTTGAGTTGAGGTTTAAATGCTCAAAGTGCAAATGTGGTGTACTTGCTACAATACGTGTGGTTGGTCCATCGAAAGAGACCGAAGGTAGATTATTCTGCAACTGTCGGATAGGGGTTTGTGATTTTTTTTCTTGGCTGGAACCTCTCAATAGAAGTCACCAGGATCATGAAATGCACGCGGATACTGAAGCCGACTCTTCCATGTGTTTAATTGATGAGTTCAAGGAGATTAAGATGGTGAACGAGCAGATCATTTCCGAGTTGAAGGTGTTGCGACGCTATTTGAAAAATATCATAACGGTTTTTGTTGTTTTTATTGTAATTGTGTTATTTAAAATAGCACTTTAAACAGCCTATTGTTGCTTGTTGGGGGGTATGGTTTTTAAATTACTTGTGTTGTTCTTATGGTTGTTGTATTTTAGAAGGTGTAGTGCTCGTTGGAATTTTGATGCGTGTACTTGATGCGGTTTTTAAATTACTTGTGTTTTTCTTGTGGTTGTTGTATTTCAGAAGGTGTAGTGCTCGTTGCTATCCCGATGCATGTACTTGATGCGTGTTTCTATTGTATTAGTAACCATTCCGTTGGTTATTACTTTTGGTGCTTCCAGCAACCATCATGCTTTCCAGCAGCCATCCAACAACCATCTCTTGTGTATGCCAGTCCAGTAGCACCTGCCGCCCAACCAGTTCTACCAATTCTATCATGAAATAAGAGATGATCATCTATCAGGGTAAAAAATCCATCTATCTACTTCAGTTAAGCTTCTGCTTGATGCAATCAATTAGAGATGATCATAAATTTAGCACATAGATAGATAGTAGAAGGTAGCCGATAGGAGCATGCTTTCCAAATAAAATCCAGCCCCACCCAATGCAGAATTTCGGTTACAATATTAATACATCACTACCGTCATGTCGTAGCGAACCAACAAACAAAAACACATCAACCAATTCACTAACACAAAAGCTCGCTAACACAAAAGCGACATAGGCAGCGGAATCCTAGCAGATGTAATACAATAATTAAAGCTTAGAAATCCTAAGTCCAATACACATCATCCCGACGAGTGCGCGGCGTTTTCAAAAAATCGAACAAATTTCAAGAGAGATGCGATGGACGCTCGCACGGATGATGTTGCTGGTCGTTTGCCTTTGTCGCCGGAATTTGTTCCTCCCTATTTGCGAATATGCAAACAAATAAATTATTAGGTGTGGCTGAGGTGTGACGAGAAAAATTGGAGTGGCACGAATATGTACCTGCTGTGGATGTGAAGCAGTCCCTGCAGTGTTTGGGTCGTGCGGCGAATCTCTATTCGACGCAGCATTCTCCTATGATGAATTATCAAGAGACAATTAATATCAGTACATAGCTTAAAGTCAACAATATTCGTATGTCGTGAGTTAATATAGTACCTCACAGGGGTTTGGATCATCCTAAGTGTCATGGAAATCCGGCCCGGCTACACTTGACTTCTGCGTAGTCACCTGCAATATATAACATGAATTACGACCCCATATTTGAACGACTACTCCAAAGGTAATATGTTCTAGGGACTACTACCTTCGGAGGAAATGGAACATTTTTGCATCATCTTTTGTTATGCCCTTGTTGCAAACACTTTGA